AAGCTAATACACCTAGACCAGTGCCTCCAAGCTCTAGCAGCCAGGGATGCTGACAGAATATCTCGCTTCCATCTTCAAAGAAAGGAAGTGATTAGTATGTTATCATTACCATTCAAAACGTGATTTCCTTATTCCCTCCCGGCATAGGTGACACATCTGAGATGCGGCCAGACGTTGGAGGCAGCTAAAGCCACATCAAAGCTTTCCTTGAAAATTTTTTTTGGGGGGGAAGGGCCTGGGGGGGGCAGGGGCTGGGGGGAAGAATCATTAAAACAATGCATTTAGAACAGAGAGATAGGACCTGATGTGAAGGTCAGGAAAGCTGCAACAACAGTCTATAATAATTAATAGAGTTGTCTAATACACAGCGGAGAAATTAAGAGAAAAGCTGCCCCTCCCTCTGCAAATAAATAAATAAATAAAAAACCTAAATAAATAAGAGGGAGGAAGGAAGGAATGCTTATATCATGAAAATGCTAAATCACTGAAGGCTGTAATTGAGAAAAAGAAAAGCAAGTGGAGTTCTCTGTGTTTGGTATATATGACTATTTTTAAATAAAATTAAACACTTTACTCAGCTTATCAAAAATAGCTTTCTTCCTCCTAATTTTCCCTACATGCAGGTTTTGGGAGTAGGGATTATTCTTCTCTTCTCTGAATATTGTTTTCTACCTTAACGAAGGACTTAATTTCAAACTGGTAATTCTCTAAAAAGATATTTGATTTGTGAAATCAAGAGTAAATCTGAATTTTAATTCAGAATAACAGAACAAAAATTTTTGGTTCATTTTCATATTGGATGAAATCCCTAAATGAAAAGAAAACACTAAGCTACTATAGATTAAAAAAAAAATCAATACTGGAAATGGACAGTCTAATTATATGATAACAGATAACATAAGAAACAAAGAATTTAAATCTAGAATGATTCTTGGAATTCCACGAAAGAGAGCCAAAATGATTATTAAGTGTACGGCTCTAATGGAGAGCAACATTTCTAAAAGAAATTTACCAAAAAATGCATATTCCTAAATAATGGAAGTAACTCTTCTTCAGGACAGTTCAATTTTATCAGAGTAAATCTGCACACAAGAGGACTACCAGTTTACCAGCAGCTTTCCAGCAGGACCTCACTTTGTATTTTGGAAGCTCTTCACTTAAGTCAAGCTAAAATCAAGTTCTTGTAACAGCTGTGCTATTTACATTGTTCCCTTAGTTGTGCATTGCCCTGGTCTCTGAAAATGAAAGGAAATACACTACAGTAGCAGCTGATGCTTTCAACTTGCCCCCACACTCCATCCCAAACTCATTCTCTCACCCTCTCCTCAGCCCTTTCAAAGCAGGTAAGTGAAGCTGTGCAGGAGCTTCAGACAGAGCTCAACTTGCGTGAGGAGCTGTGCAATGTGGGGAGCTGGAGATGCAGGATTCAGACGGAGGGCTCAGCACAGCCAGCACCAACCAGTTCAGCTCCCTGTACACACCAGCCTGCCTCCAAGCATGCCCGGTTCCCAGACCTGAGCCAAGAGAGAGAACATCCCAAGGAAGGGATGGGGCATACTTTGTATCCAAACACAACCAAACGTCCTATTTTGAAGCAGATGAATGCTTGTGTTCTTAGGAGAGGTACAAGGAGGAAATCTGGGGTACATTCACTGTTTGATTACTATTAGAATCCTGGCTGAGAAACAATCTCTTCTGAGCAAACCATATACCAAGGCACTGTCATCATCATAATCTATTTTACAAATATCAATGCTACATCCATATCAAAGACTGTTAAAAGAATATTCCAGAGCATATTATTCTATTAGTTGAATGATCTAATTCTTCCAAGTACAATTCCATTCCAGGTTATAGTTTTGGAAACATGCAGTTCAGAGCCATTATTGATGAAACTGTTGCTATAGGCACAACAAAAGAATTAAGCCAAAAATGATGATAAAACATATTTTAAAAGAAATGCAGACGTGATGTTTTCAGCTTTCAGAATTAAGATTTCTAAGTCCACACAATTCAGCTTAACAAAATTAATCTGTCAAAAATGCTGATTGTAATAAGGCCTAATATTTTATTAATTATATTCACTAAATTCAGAAGAGCTTTGTGCAGTTTCTTCACATACAGGTTTTAGAGTCTATTGTTAGTTCCATTAAGATTTGAAAATTCAGATTGTTCACCTAAGCATGAGCATATGCAAATACATATAAGCAGATACTCTGGTCTTGCAGGAAAATAATGTTGAGTATCACCCACCTCAGGAATAATCTCATACATCAAAACTGCAATTGATTATATTCATTTAGTATATACATCTGCTTCCACACAAAAAAACAAGAAGGTTAGAAGGTAAGGGTTTTATATATTTTCACCCTTTATTTTATAAATCATTATTACTTTTACTAAGAGAGGATGTCACTTGAGCATCTTAAGTCAAAAGAGGTGGTGAAAACCATGTCTACAAGCCTCTCATTTAGTATTCACGTCAGCTATAGAATGATGACATACCAATAAAAAAATTCTAGGAAAACCTAATCAATGCAGTCAATCTAAACTCAAAAATAATTCACGGTACTCTTTATAAGCAATTAGACAGCTTTCAAATTGCAACTTGGGCCATTATTTTATGCCCTAATATAAAAGTAACAAAACTCAACCTCACTAAGTAAAAAATATAACTGTTTTATCTCTGAAAAAGAGTACCAAAACATATTTGTTAAGTTTGGCTTAATTAAACAAAACAAAACAAACAAAAAACAAGACCAGAATCATTCAACATCCCTCACTGATACACGGAGGAAATGATAAACATTGCTGTAAATATTTGCTGGGCCACTAAAAAGTCCGGAGCTGCATTATAAAACAGGCCAGCAACTCAGAAAAGTGAGAACTCACTTGGGTGCTATTTCCTACAAAAAGGAAAGTGTTTAACAATGAGGAGAACTTTGGCTATTCTTAAGTATCTGTGTACACAGACTAGTAGAGCATTTATAACATATGTGTGTTTCCCTAAAAGGAAAATAGATTCATGATATCTTGTGTTGAACCTAAGAATTTTGGGTGAGGGAAAAGAGTCTATTTTAAAAGAATTTTCAGTAAATTGGAATGTCAGAAAAAAAAATTTTTTAATCATATTGACTTCTTTGAAAAACCAATATAAATAAAACAAACCTGAAGTTAGTCTACATAACACTTGGATAAAGTTTTAAGACATCCCTTTATTTTTCTTCCCTTTTTTGGCCTTTAAAATATGAATTTTCTCCGGATGCCAACCAACAATGATCACTGTGATAAGCATGATTAGGGCTTACTTGTTTTTTTAAAAGATAGTCAGCAGAGAACATTTCCAGCCATATAATCAATACTTTTGCTATGTGTAAATTTTCCTGGAAAAAAATGAACCCAAAGATCTTACTTCAGATTTAGAAACTCAATTTTATAGGAAAAAGCAGAATTAAAAAAAAAAAAAGGCAAGCTAGGAAGTACTCACCTCTTCACGTAATTTTATCAACTGCAACATGAATGCACACAAAAAAAAAGATAAAAAGGAAAGAAATGGCAGGAAAGAAAGATCAGTTGTGTGACAGGATACAGAATTAACATTGACAATTTATCTGTTTACATGTTTAGCATTTAAAAATCACAGACAAACACATTAAAAGAACCTAAACATAGACTACATGCAGAGTTTTTTGAACGAATAAAGATCACTTTCTCACACTGTCACATTAAACAAAGAGAATAGTGTGAAATTCTCTTTTAAAGTACATCTAAGACACCATCATGAAATAAAGGGGAACGGCTTCATAGAAGTCTATATTATAAAGAAAAAAACAAGTTTACTGTTCCTCTCTTCTAAGAATGTACCACTGAAGAGGTTTTGTATATACAAGTTTTCAGGATGTTTTTCTATTTTGAATCTTGACAACTGATTTCAGATTTTACCTACAAATGAAAACGATTAATAGTCCATGCTTTTGTCCCAATAAATATTTAAAACAAATAATTATGTTAGTTAATATCATACATGGGTCCACTCTAGGAATAGGATTGTATTTGGAGGTAACATTATTTTAATTGGAAATAAAGCATGCCAGGAGAGATAATATTTAGGACATAGTATCAAAATATTTCACTATCCTTAGAAATATTGTGTATATCAGAGTTAATTTCTAGGATTTGTTTTGCGTAAGAGGCTACTGCAATCACATGGTTGTTGTTTTTCTTAATTTTTGAAGTTTCTTCATTTTTCAATTTTCTTCATCTTGTAAATTGGGCCATCTCAAAGCCATGAACTATGAGCTCTTATTTCATTTGTACTTCAGTCTGTTCTCACTGAAGTCAAACCAAAAAACCACCCTTTACTTGTTAGTAAATTCCCTGTGATAATGTTTTAATTCTCCTCTGTAGAACATGTTTTACTTACTTTAAATATAACAGATAAAACAAGTTATTTAGCTCTTTAGAAACTAGAAAATGGATATAACCATATATCTGGCTCATTCTTTGTGTGTCTCTGTATGTGTGTATATGTGTGTGTGTGTGTGTGCGCGCGCACGCAAGCTGGGGGTGTGTATATGTTTCACAGTATTCTAAATCAAATATCATTGTGTAGTTGAGATGACTGCCATAGTTTCTGCAATGAATAGAAATTGAAACCTATGTTGTGAAAGACTATAAACCACATTCTAAGGCTGAAATTTGCATCCTCAGCAATTCAGGTCTACAACTGATAATTTTTAAACATTCAAATATCTGTAACATCTGTTATAACACTTGACATATACAGGCCAATAAATTAAACTATTGCTTTGGGAGAAAACGTGCCACGAACTGCTCACTCTCTAAAAGTATCATGTTTACTATAGCCCGGCTTTCTCAATGCTTAATGCTGTTTTTGTCTCCACAAGGAAGGCAGTATGTATTCCAGCTTATTCTGTCATTTTATTTGTTATATGAAAAGTATTTCAAGTCCAAAGAATGAGATTTCAAAATTGTTATGAATCTTTTATAGAAAGGGTACAGAATCTATTCCATAATGTCTCACAATGCACTTAGTGAAAATGAAAGTTTTAATATAGTCTTTTCAAAATATACAAGAAGTTGTAATTATTTTTAATTAATATTCTCTCAACAACCATCCAGTGCCTATGAGTCAAGCATCCTGTTTCATGTGAAAGGTTACCATTCTTCTCAAGAAGAAGGAAAATTTTAAACTAAAATACCTGGCTTATCATATATAGGGATCTTTCTCTTTGCTATCTGAACATCATGGGAGAAAAAGGCAAACATTAATTCTCAGGAAGAGACGATCTGGGAATTGATCGCACAGCTATTTTTTCTTTCTGGGGGCACCATTCTTCAGTTGACTATGATACTTAAAGGGCCAAAGTTTAAAACTACTCCTCTGCAATTGAGACCATTTGGGGCATGCCACCCTGCCATAATCAATGAGTGTTTAAAAATGCTACCCATTTGTTTTTTCAATAGGTTCCAAACAAAAAACGTTCTATCTTGTTTGTGCTGCATGGCTGCATTCAAGCTCTACACCGGATTTGTAGCTAAGCTAGGTAATGGGAGGGGTTTTAATCTTTATCTTTTTTTTTTTTTTTTTTTAGTCTGGGAGTTTTCATTCAAGTAAACAAAAGATGGTCTATTTTTGAAAATTAACAATGCTTAGACTAGACTGAAAGTAGTGATTTCGTATTTTATTGAGTTACTAGCTCCATCATTGGCGACTTGAAAATGTGCCATGCCACCATGTTGAGTTATGATAATCAACATCTTTTTTGAAACAAAGATTTTTTTTTCCCCCCAATGCAGAATTTGATACAAGCGGTAATCTGTTCCTTTGTGGGCTGAAAAAATCTGGTTTACGCTGGTTTGAACCAGTGGAATCTCTTGTGGCTAAGCCTTCTGCTGTGGCTAAAATCAAAACTGCACTGCAGCGCATGTGAGGGTTCATGCGCGCGCCTGTGTGTGTGTGTGTGTGTGTGTGTGTGAGGTGCGTCACGTGACCCCCAGAACTACCGATTTTTTTTTTAAGCTGATAACGCCACTGCCGTCTCTGTCCGCATACAGATAACGAATAAATGCTGAACTCTATTAAACGCCCTTTACACATTATCGTGGGTCGAACACACAATTTTCTGAACTTACGATGACAGTCTATTTATTTCGCTATAAACCCTCAGCACGTAACGAACAGATTTGTGCCTGGTAATGATCTGCTCTGCCAGGGCTATATGAAATGATACCGACCTTCTTTAGATCTTGGGGAATTAAATTGACCGACTTCACCCCCTGGTCTGTAGCTGAAGTTTGACACACTTTATGCACAGCAAGCCCAAATCGGGACTTAAGAGAACCTCGCGTTAAAAAATTAAGCAATCCTATCTGCTAAATACTGCTTTACCACAAAAATTTCGGCATGTTTAGGAATATCCTACTCCTTAGACATGTATTTGAACCTTCTATTTAGGATTTACTAAAATTTCGTTTACTCACATTTATTCACCAATCAATATAATTTTGCATGCGGAAATTGAGAGACCATTAGGGCTCAAAAGTAGAGTCTGGAACATTTTATGTGCCCCATCATCATACTCCACTATGAAGGGGATTAGGGGATTTACTTCTGTAAGATTTTTTTTTTTCCTTTCCTGAGAATGGTTTTCATGAAACTAAAGGTAACAATTACTAAAGTTTCCACTCTAAATACAGCACTACTACATTTCAAAAACTCAACTCTCTCAAAGAATTAAAATCTTGCCATATGGAATGGAAAACATGGTATTTTAAAATAATAGAATGATAATGCCTAAGACAATAGTCCTTGGAAAGCTGATGACCCAACAATACTCGAATGTGCAAAGTAGGTAATTTTGTCCCTTTTTGTAAATGAGGGATGAGCCATATTTGATTGCATGAAATGGATATGAATCAGAAATGAATTTATACAAAGCAATTAACTGGAAATTAAATGAAATTGTGTACTGTATGAGGGACATTAATGATGCACTTGAAAAATTCTTAATTGCTGAAATCTTGACATTTCTAATCATGTCAGAAATGTTTATATAAAAGTAAATTAATATACTTTCTAGTTAATTGACAGATTATGTGTCTAACAGGTTTTAGATGCCTAAAAAAATGCATTATAAATGGCCAGAATGAGAAATAATAGCTATGGCATTCACATTTGCCTAAATCTGTACAAAGAAGCCACTATAGGGAGGATGTGTATGTTGTATTGAAAATAACTAGTCAGTAGTTAATTTTACCTATTTGCAACCATTGCTATAATTCTTTATTATTTTCCTTTTTCTGATCTATAATTTTTAAAAATTGAGATACATCCCAATTTCAGTGAAACGTATATTTTTGTCTCATTTTATTTACCTCCAAGTTTTTTCTGTATATTAAAAGTTTATCTTAAATATTACATGGCTACAAAGTTCTGAAAGTCAATTTATCAACAATTAACTTGAAGATAATCTTAGTTGTGGGCAGGAAATATTTTCTTATATAAATTATAGATAATCCTACCCAGAAAAAAAAGAACGCTCTTCTCAGCCCCTGAGCTATAAAAATTAATATAAAGAGCCAACTTAAAATCTTTTCTTCCTTTAAAGAAAGGGCTTCTGTTTTGATTCCACAGTCTGAATGAATACTGATGCAGAATAAAGAGTTATTCTCAAGTGACCATTCCTGACTAAGGGATGTGTTTTAGTTTGAAGGATTTAAATTCCTATATTATGATAAAAAGCCCCACAACAAAATTTAATCATTTCATTATGGAATAGAAATTTTGTTATAGTTAGCAACAAAATATCCAGGAAGTTAAGTGTAGTCTTTTTGAACTTTCAAACCTAATTTGAATTTTGGACTGAAAAGTTCACATAACTAATAATCTAACAGTTACACAGTCTCATGACTATAATTTATCATATTCTATTTATTGAAGTGACAGCTCCTTACAACTTAACTTCAGGTTCTCCAAGCACATTCAGAATTTGTAAGTTTGATTTATACAAGTCCAGAGGAAATCTCTGCGTAATCACTTTAAAGTGACAGGAATATAATTTGAAAAATTCAGAAAATATGAACTCTATTTTTGCGGAATATTTTTCTTTAGGCATAAAAAAAATCATACTTATATGTACGTGAGGCAAATGTTTTAGGCATATAAAATGTCCATTAAGAGAAGTGAACATGTTTAAAAAAAAAAAAAAAAAAAGGAATCCCTGTCAGAGTACTACAACATCTATTGGAATAAAGGAGTCTGACTTAGACAGGAACACCCCTTCCTTTCTATTTCCTCTATATTAAGCAGTAGTTTCAAATGAAGGAAAGATCTATAGCTTTCTAGAGAACTGACATGGGAACTATGCATTCACTTTTTGCAAAAAAGAAAATGCTTTTTTTTTTTTTTTGCAGTAAAGATATGAAATAAAATTATGATTCATTCGAGATATGAACAATCCAAATCTCACTTAAAATAGGAAGAAAATATTTTTTCTCTCATCCTCAAGTTATTTAATCTATTATGAGTAAAACCCTTTATCCCACCACCCTTTTATGTTTGATGTGCTCCTTATTTTTTTTCTTTTAGCCGTTCTCACATTTCAATCAGGGAAGCTGAAATCCCAAGTCAAATCTTAACGTGTTTACATGTCTAAACTCAAGCTGATAACATCCAAATAGTGGATGAGGTGAGATCTTTCCAAAAACAAATATAATCAGCTCAGTGATTCTTCTCCCCCCTCCTTTTTTTGGGTGGATGGATGGGGGCCTTAATCACATAAGCAACATCCCATTTACAATATTAACATTAGAGTAGATAGTAATATAGTTTCAGCATATGTAGACCTGTAATATAATCTGTTTGAAATGGTAAATATAATTATACAAGTTTTATAATGTGTATCAATATATTATGTTTTACTATCTTATTAAAATTGTGGTTTACTCAATGAATGATTTATGTTCATTTTTATTTAGGCAGAGTAGAGACATTTACAATACTTGCCAAAGGAATATTAATAAACACATTCAGGTCTTGCTTCTGAAGTTCCCATCATTTATTTTCTCTAAAAGTGTCAAAGAGAGTAAGTCACTAGGGTTATTTGAGACATTTTAAAAGTCATCTCTACACTGAGGTTCTTAAAACATTTTTTTAAGTCATATACATTATCTACAAGAATTAATGAAGTCTCCAGTATTAATTCAAAGGAAGAAGTGGGACATTAATTAGACTCATGGCACTGCTGTGTGATCCAATGAGAACTGACAGCCAAGTTGTAAGGCCCTTTTAAGAAGAAACTGTATCTTATTTTTTGCCTATGCAGATCTTAAACTGTAGAAAGAATTTTCCTATTATTATTATTATTATTTGACAGAAGCAGGACCTCTATATGAGTATCTAAGTTCCACACTGGCGCTCACAATTTGCATTTTGGCGAATGTATTTTAAGAGGCTCCACAATGGGAGACTGAGCTGCCCTGTTGAATTTTGAAAGCTTACTCTCATTTGTTTTGCTGCAAGTGTTGATTTAATCATACTGCACTATTATCAAGGCTGCGTTATGTGCTTTTTTATTCCTTTTACATGTGTTTGAGGTGAAGACCTTGGCTTTGTCTGCAAACGGTGTGTTTCAAGTTATTCCTTAAGTACTAAATAATAAAGAAAAGAGAAGAAAAGATTTTTTAAAAGATAGCAGACAGTGATCTCAAGGTAAAGGGTTAAATGTAAGATCTCCAAGAAACATTTTGAAGTTGATTAAGACTCCAGCTTTGCATTAAACAGTATCGCTTCCACATGAGTTGCTGCTGATACTGTTAAGGAGCAGCTTGAGAGCCCAGTGTGCCAGTGACCTCCTTCACCCTCCAGCCACCCACCGGGCCTTCCTGATTAGCATTCTACCTGGTTCTCCGAGGAATTCCCATCATCCCCTAGGAGCTCATTCCGTACTTCGTCACTGTAGGCGATCCGTGACCTTTTCTATAAAACAAAACAAAAAGGGAGAGAGTGAGATGAACGCTAGAAAGTAAAGGCTTCGGAGCATTATTGGTATCAAGGCTGATCATCTCAAACCTCGAGAGCCCCCTAATGGAAACCTATTTGCTAAGATCTGCAAAGCAAAGTTGTGTAAAGTTCTTGAACTTGAGAAGTTTAATGTAAATCAGAAGTTTTTCAAATGTCAGTAATGAAAGAAAACTCTGCATTGTGTCAGTATTCCATTAATATTCACAAGTGGATCAGAACTGGTATGTTATTCCATACATAGTCATTCAAATAAGACCACTACACTAGAGGAAATAAAGCTATATAAACTGTCTACTGGCAAAAATCACCAGATTGTAATTAAGACAAGTGTATACGGGGGTCTTTAAAATTGTGGCAGGAAATGAACTTTAGAATATAGGTCTTTTAAAATTGCTAATTCTAGGATAATATTATGACTCCAACTGTGCACTGGAATGCCTGGAAAATAGTTCATCTCTGTCTCCTGCATTGTTGTGATGTTACTAGCCAGAAAGAGATCGAATTTAAAAGTCCACCCCGTTTCCAAACAATAACTTAAATGTCCCCAAGCCCTCCTCAAATAATAGCCTAAGGAAAAGTAATGTGTGTGTGTGTGTGTGTGTGTGTGTGAAAACAAATTAAATTTCCCAATCCCAGTAAATAAAGGCAAGTGGGCTGAGTCAACCATTCTCAATCCCAGTAAATAAAGACAAGTGGGCTATGAGTCAACATTTCACTCAGTGAAATTTTGTTTTATAAGAAATCGACCTTGACCTGTAAAGTCAGAGGGATATGTGTCTATAAGCAATTCATGAATTATCTAAATGTATACACATCTGGAAAAGCTAAAAGGCTCTGAAAGTTAGTTGTGAAGCTAGAGTGCCATCCTCAGATCCTCCTTCAGCATCACCCTCTCAGATCCAAATGCAGATTTACAGGTTACTTTGCTGCCTTTTTCTGCTTCTGAACTAAGCAAAAAGAGTCAATTTAAAAATGGCAGCTGGGAAATAGTAATCTTGTCTCACTTGCAGGCTACAGTTTAGGCTTCAACATGTCGTACTTGTTCAACTATGAACTGAAAAATTATTGTAGTTTAAAAAGGACTATTCATAATTCTTGAGGAGAAGTCAACAAGATTTTTAATTAGATTTTTATATACTAGTAAGTTACACTGCTTTGCAACATGGAGGTCATAATATCTTAAATGTGAAATCATACTAGAATTTAAAAGGACTTCTAACAAGAAAACCCAGTAGATTTTGAATCATTTTAAAGTTGCAGCCTTTCTCAATTGGGGTTCTTTATCTGAACCACAAAATGGAAAACTATTTTAGTGACTATTTTCTCAATCTATCAAGGATGGTACATAAGAGAGAGTTTAGTACATTACATAGACTAGAAGTCTAATGGCACTAGGGCTTAACTCTCCTGCAGAACCTAGTTGAAAAAGGCTGACTGGAGTGTAAATAAAAATAAACAAATCTAGACATCCCTTTATTTTTTTTTCAAAAAACAAATCATTCTCATGGAATTCTAAAGATCACTTTGATTAAACTGAAACTAGAACCTGTACTCATTCTACCACACAAAATTTCCTCCCCATTTTATTACCCTTTGAATGCACTCAGGAAAAAGATGCAAAAACTGCAAAATGTTTCGTAGAAAGGAGATGATGGCATCCCTTCTCTGCCCTGAGTCTCTACCCCAAGCCCCCTTCTCTGATGCAAGTGTATCTCTTGTACCTTAGCAAATGCACTAAGTCTGTAAATAGATAAATAAAACCAACAATGTTGCAGAGGACAAAGTAGCAAAGTTAAGTCATTAGCCTGAGGTTAGTAATGACATCTATATCAGATGTCTTAACAATTCAGGAGTGAACCAACTCATTCACTTGTGAACATGCCAGACTTCTTACCACCACAAACTGCATATATTAAGCCTGCTTCTCTTATTGTATTTACTGAAGCTACTGTTAATTATTTCTATAGACTTCATACAGAATTGTATTGAAAAATGCTTAACTGCAAGGTCAGTATACCTCATGGCCTTACAACAATATTTAGATCAAGCCAAACCTTTCTTTTGCCCATTTGGAGATCCCCACTACAGTAGTTTCAAACTAGCTAAGCAAAAGTATTTTACAGCATTAAAGGAAATGAGAACCTTTAAACAGGCTGTGGTATCAGAGCTGCCTTTTTAATTATTCATTTCATCACTATGGGGGACTAAAACATTCCACAATATGCAAGAGTATCATATGGAGATTGTTTTTGTTTTCCCCCCTTTCACCAAAATACCAACAAATTGGCATAGATTGTTCAATTACATTATATTCTTATTTTGATTTACTAAACTTCAAAAGAAGAAGAAAATTACAAACATGTATCCCTAAATATCTACTCTTGTTTTGGTGAGAATCCATTGCTTTTGAAAACCAGTGTACAGAGTGTATGCTGTTTAAGAGTGTACATGTTCAGCAACAGAGGAGAACTAAGGATTTATCCACAGTTGAAAGGTGGTCCCTATATACGTCAGTCTTTACTATTGGGATGGTAAAAACTGGTCATTTGGATGGTTTTCTGGATGTAATTAAGCAAATGATATGCTGAGTTTATAAAATATTCTCTGATTAAGCTAACTTCTCTTAAAAGAATTTTTAAAAAGCTCATTTCAAATATCAGAAATCGTTCTTCTTGAAAATGATGCAACTGATGCAGAAAATCGAGCTCTTTACACTGGATATCATTTTACAATTTTTTAAAAAAAATTAAGACTTTGTTTTATTAAGAGTTATATTTAAATGTCTGACACTGGTATTTTCTCCTAATTATTTTGTGGTCTGAAATTTTAAGTAAGCTGATTGTAATCAGCTATAATTTAGCCTGCAGGATCATCACTAAACTGACTGAATTCCAAAAAAGGCAAATTCCTGTGAATGACAAACTGCTTATTTTATTGATAATTTCCCTCCAAAACATCAATAAATAATTTTACCTTTTGTGTTATTTTTAATAACCTCACTCTCTATTACTAAGTACTATGTATATTTTAATTCAGATGACTCAAAGTTAATGAAGCTGAAACATCAACTGTATCTTGATAAACTAAAATATTTTTACTTTATCATCAACTGTATAAAATTTGTACTTTAGCCAAATGCAAGCATGGGAATTTGAGCTGGAAATGTCACACACTCAGCTACAGTTTGAAGGAACCCAATTCATAATGCATTTTATAAATAGTTAATGACTTCTATACATAAGCTAACCAGGCAAATCAAGAAATTGTCAACATTTTTAGTCTTAGTTGTCAGTTACCACTGTCTACTGGTGCTTTATATGTGGCTTCTGGAGAAGACAGAAAGTCTATGCAGTGTGTAATCTATTGCAATTTCAGGTCTGTACTATACGGGTGGAAAGCTTCGACTGACAATATTTGCCACACACACACACAGTTAAATACAAGAGCATTTCTCACTTTTAGTTGTGTGTTTGTGTAAGGCTTATTCCTTCTAACTTATACTAAACTTAGGTGGACTAGACACAGTTGGGCAGAAAAATCTACAGACCATATATGAATTACGGAAAGAATATGGCAAATTAACAATTGACTGCTATCCCTAAAGAGTTAGACACACAAAGTTTCGATACCTATTTTAAACTGATGACAAAAGTGAGTCCTTCATTATGAAAGTGAGGATTTCAGATTCCAAGCAGTTTTCACTTGATATACTGATACTGATTGGCTGATTTTCAACACCGATTGGCTGATTTTCTTTTTTTTCTTTTTTTTTTTTTTTTAAAGATTTTATTTATTTATTCATGAGAGACAGAGAGAGAGAGGCAGAGGGAGAAGCAGGCTCCCAAGGAGCAGAGAGCCCGATGCGGGACTCGATTCCAGGACCCCGGGATCATGACCTGAGCCGAAGGCAGATGCTTAACGATCTGAGCCACCCAGGCACCCCCGATTGGCTGATTTTCTTAAAGCCAAGTTCAATCAGATACACTTGGCCAGTTCTGTCTGGAAATTTGGTTTGAAACAATCTGTCTACTTGACCCAAGCCTTAATATTTCCCAACTGAACTGAGTATGTTTCTGGATAGGCACTGCTAGACTACAAACAAGATGAATTAACTTAGCTGAAACTAATTAAGAACTGTGATCTGTGGTGCAGCCTTCTATATGATTCTACATGTGAAACAGGGTACACATAGCCAGAATGAGGATTCTACAACCCACCACTCACATAAGCATAACAATGCAGTTGGTTTATTACTAAAGCATATATGAGAATTTAATTTCCACAGCGTGCATATGGCAAAGCAATTGCTTAAATTGCCTCACCTGGGAATTTAATACAATGTTATCATCAGACCAGCCACATTGTAAATAGATTTATAATGCTTTCCATGTGCTGCACTCTGTTGCATATGAATTAAGTAATGATCTGGTATTACAATAAAATCAGCTAGTTCCCACACCTGGCAGACAGGATATTTCACTAAATTAATACCCATACAGCTACATCACAAGGCAGGGGAGAGGAAACCATCTCTAAGGCATTTGACTTGAGCTTTACATGGGAGGCAAACACTCCATGGCTATGTAGAATGTCACTATGTTGAATGGGTTGCTCAAGACAATCTGTTTCTAACATCTGTATCACGGAATTAAGACTTTCTCATTCCCATTCAATTTTGGCCTAATTTTCTTCATTCAGTACTTTAATTACTAATCAGCAATCCACAACATTCACAAACACTAAGAAAGCCCTTTATTCTAATCTATGTGCTGCAGACAGCCAAATAATTGATACAAAGTGCAGTATGGTTTTGGTAAGTAATGAAAGAACAGCTTGTCTTACTCCATAATCAAATTGGTCTATAGAAGAAATGGTTAATAGATTTCTCCATAGGTCTAAAACAAATTACCCAGTCTGGCCAGACTTTTCCATTGCTTCTACCATGTCTTTCAATC